TTCTCTTTGGTCTTCCTGGCTCCGCTCTTAAAGAACAGACTCGATATCAAGGAGGTTATAGAAGAATCAAATGCGTGTAAGAGACAACAAGATAAAATCATGGCACAGGAGAGCGTTTGATAGCCATTTTTATAGAAAAATGAATTTTAAAATAGTAAATTGATGAAGAATGTGTGGATGAAAAGTTTTTGATTTATGTGTAATATTATTTTAATGAAGAATGTGCAATTGAAAAGAAAAGAGAGAAAAATACATTTTGAGTAAAATGGGAATCAAACGTGGCCTAACCAGCAAATTTACCCCCCATTAATCTCAAAACCGTGCACCCATTTCTTAAAGTGTGGACAATTCCTGTCAACGAAATAGGTTATGGATCAACTTGCATCTATGTCAATAGGTAGGGACTAACTGTGAAAATTTCTCTTACTTCTGTTGAAAGATCTTTATCATCGTATGATCAGACAAATTATTATGGGAGCAACTTGTCGGAGTTAGAAGTGAGCATATAGGTGTAATAAATCCATTTCGAGTTCTCGTAAGTAAATTTTTTTTTTTTTGTTAAACGCTTTGGAATTTTAGATAATTGTGTAAAAAATTTAAAGAATTCCAATAGTAATCTTACTGTTCGACACCTGTTCGACGGAATGACTATGCTGTTTTGCCTATTTTAACTTGTGCTGTACTTGTTGGTGGCAGTCGGGGAAGAAGACAATGGACTGGGGTTTTGTGCATAGAATTTGGGACAGGTGGGCATCCAACAACGTTGGTTCTTCAGGCGAGCGTGCATTTAACACTATTGTTTGAAGTATTTCTATTATAATTCTGGAAAGTTTGTAAACTGCAAAACTGCGATGAATTAGTAAACTATTTCCAGGTCAACCATTGAAGGCTGCTCTGTTAATTAACTATGATCCAACCGGACCTGCTCGCCTAGTATCTACCATGTAAGAGAAGATACAATTTTGGTTCCTCTTCCTTTCAATCTCGTTTTGTTTGTATTTTGGCTTCATTTTCATATTTTTCTTTGGGGTGAAAGTGCTAGTGAATCATGCATTCTTTTTTGGAGGCTTCTGCCAATCCCTATTTTTGTAGGAAAAAGAGGAAGACGATGAGGATGCAATACTGATGCTTTAGGGACCTTTAGGTGGTTCAATTATGAGTATGGCGAGTAGACTTATAATGGCAGTGTTAACTATGATGGAACTTATTTGTTTGGAATTCAAAAGAGGTCCGAGTGATTTTTGTAGAAAACCGTGTTTTCTACATTTATGATCTGCATTAAGGCAAGAAACTGTGCTTACAATGATCATAGTATGAGGGTGGTTGGTTATTGGCCTCCACATTCTACAGGTTTGGGACATCTTTCTTTCAAGAAGCCATGAGAGTTTGAATTCCACTGGAGGTAGGGTACTGTGAAAAGAAGTTGATTTTGGATTGCTAATTAGTCTAAAATGGATTATTATTGGGTCAATGCCTGGCGGGTAACGAGGACAGACTGTAAGGTTAGGGGTTTCATGACATGACTTTAAAAAGGCATAAAGCTCTGATCATTTTTCTTCCTAGCTATGGGTTATTGTTTAGCAGAGATATTGATTAAAAATGACTAATGAAGAAATGAATGGTTAGCTGTAGAACCAAAGCAGAAACCCAGTAAATCATCTACCAATAAAGAATGACCTGGATATAGGAGTTAATCTGTGATTTCTTACGATGGGAGCTACTTCCAATTTCTAGAATCTCTTCCAATGAGGTGCAAGTTCTTGTGTTTATATATAACAATTTATTTTTTCTACTCTTGTTTTTTTTTTTGTCTGGGGAGGTGTTAGTGGTAAAACTGAAGCTTGAAAGAAGAATAAATGATTAGCTTATGCTTTTACACAATTTTAAATTTACACAGAGATATGATATCTTCACACAGAATGAAACGAGAACAGAGTGATAACTGGACCATCAGAAACTAATTCTTTATAGATATTTGGATCCGTATTGGCTCCACAAATAATGATTTCGAATTATACAACTATTGCTTTCACTTAGTCCATGGATATAGTCACTAGGAGAAGGGAAAATTGATGATTGAGTTTTTTGGGGTTACGCATAGACTACATTTATTCTTCTGAGAAAACGAAATTTCTGCTCACTTGAATGGGACTCTAAGAACTTGGGGCAAGGACGGTGCCGCTTCACCTCCAGTTCCTTCCCTGATTCTAAATCTTAGGTACTTCTTGAATCTTGCACTACTAAGAACTACCAAAGTAGAGCAAGAAAGGATGTGATTGTTGCTTTTGATTAATATGAAGAGATTTTTTGTGTCCCGATAAAAAAGTATCAAATGGAGAAACCTTTCCTCTGAGGTGGTTAGTGTCCAGTTTAGGACAAGTTGATGTAAATGCAAGTGACTTTTTTTTTTTTTTTAAAGGCTTGAACTCTTCATGAGATTTATAGTTGAATTATTTAGAGCTTCCTTGTTCATAGACAAAACGGATTCGAAAATATCTTTCATTCGTAGGCATAACTTCTATCTGCTTCATATTTGCCTGGAGTTCGCTCCTAGAAATATAGTAGTCCCTTACCCCTCATATCGATCCCACGAGCCTCTTATCAATTCTTATTGAAACACTAGGAGCACAAGTCCAAATAGAAGAATTCACATTGGGTTTAGAGATAATCATGTTCAAACAGATGACTTCAACCACATTGAGGTGAGTCTCTACCTTTGAGAAATAACCCTTACTTGTTCCCATCGAGAAATAGAACACCTAAGTTATGAAGAAAAACCCAGATCTCTAAATAACTTTAGAATCTGCACAACTGGTCTTTAGTTTTAAGTATGCACTATTTCAGTAATTTTCAGGCATATTTACACCTCCAAACATTGTGTTTCTCTTTTTTTTTTTTTTTTTACATTGTATTATTTTGTGCAAAGATTAGAAGTGTGATTGGATCCTTCCTCTTGTTTTCTTCCTTCATGAGGGTTTTGCGCCAATGTGAAAGTGAATAGTGTTCTGTGACTTGAAACCGCTGCCCATTCAAAGCAGCAACCTCACTCTATAAAATGCTTACCATAATTTTTTATTTCTTGGCTTCTGCTTGCTGAGTTAAACAGTCTGGGTCAGATCCCACTACTAGCATTTATGCTTCAATATAGTATTTCTGCCGACTGCTGGGAGCACCAGTTTAAAGCTTCGTCTTCTATCTTGTAGAGTTGAGCATGAAGGCATACAATCTGATCCAATTGAACTAAGTCAGTTTGTTGGTTATGTGAAGAAAAACAAACTTCAGTCAGAGAGCTTCTTTATTGGATCAAATCAATGTGAGTTACATTACTTAATGAATATGTTGTCAGCTTTGCATATGTAATATCCGCAGCAGTCTTCTCATGTCATTTATTTCAACTTAAATTCATGCTTGGTAATGATTTTGACTGAAACTACACTTCTGTCATTTCATATCAATTTTATTTTTTGGAGAACTTGTGTTTTTATTTTGGTAACTTACTTTTAATTTGTGCTGTTCTTTTTTGGCTAATTTGGAATTGTTGCCATTAGTCACTAAAGATATCATGATGAAAATTTTATGATGATTGTATTATTGGGCCAATTTCTGAGTGTGAA